CCAGGCTGAACAGGCCCAGCTCTTGCAGTCTTTCTTCAGAGGAGAGATGCTCCAGCCCTCTAATCATCTTGGTACCCCTCCGCTGGACTCTCTCAAGGAGTGCCACGTCTCTCTTGTACTGGGGAGCCCAGAACTGGACACAGGACTGCAGGTGAGGCCTCCCCAGGGCTGAGGAGAGGGGCAGGATCACCTCCCTCCACCTGCTGGCAACACTCTGCCTAATGCACCCCAGGAGACCATTGGCCTTCTTGGCCACAAGGGCACACTGCTGGCTCATGCTTAACTTGTTGTCCACCAGGACTCCCAGGTCATTCTCGGCAGAGCTGCTTTCCAGCAGGTCAACCCCCAGCCTGTCCTGGTGCCTGGGGTTATTCCTCCCTATGTGCAGGACCTTGCACTTGCCTCTGTTGAACTTCAGGAGGTTCCTCTCTGCCCAGCTCTCCAGCCTGTCCAGGTCCCTCTGAATGGCAGCACAGCCTTCTGGTGTGTCAGCCACTCCCCCCAGTTTAGTATCATCAGCAAACTTGCTGAGAGCGCGCTCTGTCCCTTCCTCCAGGTCATCGATGGATACACTGAACAAGACTGGACCCAGGACTGACCCCTGGGAGACACCGCTAGCTACAGGCCTCCAACTAGACTCTGTGAAGTCTGTATACCTCAGTAGGCATTAACCCACTGTAGTTTGTATGGCTTTCTAGGGAGAGTGCCTCCTTCCTCGACTCTTCCGGGTGGGTTTCACACCCAGACAACAGTTGAGTCGTTCCCCTCCGATGGTCTTTGGCAGTAGCCGAATCAAGGTGCTCCCTTCTCACCAGGGGATTACTCGGGTTCCTCCACCTGACGTGATTCCTTTGATCCTCATGGGTCCCCATGTTTACTGCGATTAGCCTTTAATCAGATCACCTAACAGTACTGTTGTGGTGCACATGCCATAGCTTGGGAATTCTTAGATCAGGCTATCAAGGATTTGTATTTTATTTAAATGGTTTAATCAAGGTAAGTTCTTCGACTAGTTTAAGAAAAATGAGCTTCAGTTTCTTTAAATTACGTGCCATACATTAAACAGAAGTTCTCTGAAGGAAAAGGATGTGGCTAAATTGAAGTCGGTGTGCTTTGACAGTGGGGCAACCCAGGGCAGGAAAGGGATACAGGGAGTGTTTGTTAGGACACTGCTGAATGTGCTCGTTTGAACTAACAAGCAGAGATGTTCAGAGCGCAGCCAAGCTACCCTATATTTCTGATGGTCTGTAGTATTAACCTTGTAGAGGCTGGCACTGACACCGGGAGATGTGCTGGGCTCAGGCAGTGTCAAATGTGCTTCCCAGGTTGTGTATGGACCCAGCAGGTGTCCAGGTGGTTCCAGGGCCATCATATGCATCCTACTTCCTTGCTTCCTCTATTACAGAACACAAATAGTAAATTGTAGGAAGATTAACATTTGACTTTCATAACAAAGACTGGTACTGTTTATTACTATACCTATGTTTTTCCTGGAGCAGTTCTGGACCTGCATAGCTGCAAATCTTCCCACTAGTGCAAATCCACTGGTCCACACCTAGTGCTTGTTATAGGGCAGCAACAGTGCTCAGTGCTTTACAAGCAGTGCTAAGTGCCTGCTATGATCAGTGCTGTCTCTGGAAATAAGCCAAACATCCTCTTGAATCTTCAAATCTACTACAGGAAAGTAGATGAAGGATGCATATAAAGTACTTTGTAACATCCCGATTTTTTGTCACTATAATTTTCAATCCTTTTTGTCGTCTTCACCATCCCATTATTCTGGAAATGTTGTCTCATCCTGTGACCCTTCATGAGTGAAACTGCTGGTTCCTCTTGCATAAGATTTATTTGTATAAATAAAGACTTTCTAAATGCTCCTGTTCCCAAAATCATTAGGAGTCAGACAGAGACCTAGAGCTTTTTAAGGCCAATCTCCTTCAAAGAGAAAAAAGGGGAGGAAACAAGTGAAAGAGTTTTCTCAAATAATAAATAACTTTATTACAGTAAAACACAAGACATGAATAATCCCTTTTACAATAGAATAATTCCAGCCAAAGAAAATGGAGTGTGTTAAAAAGTGTATCGTTCAAACATCAGACTAACTACGTTGACTTCGGGATGCCTCAAATCAAATGCAACAGGAGGAATGTTTGTGAGAATGTCCACTTGATAAGCAGTTGCTATATTTTTCAGGGCATGGGACTGAGTACTCTGGGGCTGAGTGGAGGACTCTGAGCTGCCCTGATCTCCCAGGCTCCTGAAACTAAGTACATCTCTGAGATTTTTCATTCTGAAGAGGCAGGAGTCCAAGTAGCACTATTTATACAGTGATCTACACTGTTTTACAGAATATCAGCAACTGAATAATACTTACTTCCATCATCCAGATGGTGAAGAAGTTTTGCCATGATTGTGATGGAAAAAGAGAGGACAGAACTGTTTGTAGGCAGAAGTGGTACTATTAAATCTCTAGGTACTCTTTATGGGTTTTTTTTCTGCTTAACCAGATTGTGATAGCTAGTACTTAACACAAAAAAGCACTCCTTGCTCAAATCCACCATTTTGGCTCCTTGAAGGTGTAGATCCTTGCAAGATTATGGCTTCACTAACCCCCACAAAAAAGGCCTGTTTCATCGCTTTACTATCCCCCTTCTAAGCCACATTTAAACTGCACACACAGTACTGAAATGAGAGATTAAGTTGCTAACACTGCATTATCTGCAGAAAATATACTGTGATACATTTAACTTGTACTTAGAAAGTATTATAAATAATTAAAAATTGGACTCCAATTGCCCAAACAGATGAAGAAAATTTATCTAGAGTTGCATTATCTCTGCTCGTCATTATGTTTGTTCCCTTGCTCTCTCATTTGTAAAGCATCTCATGGACATAACTGTGAATTAATAAGACGTAGCACACACTGTAGCATCAAAAAATCACTTTCAAACAGACGATGTGGTCACTACTGTGAAAGTGCAAGGGGTTAGACTTTACAAAGTTTTTTTTCTAGTTTTTCTTTGCTCATGAGGTCTGTATTTAAAATTATTTAACTAGTTGGTCTATTTCTTCCTATGCTATTCATATGCAATATTATTTCAGGACTAACATGGAATATAAAATAGCAGCATCCATGGATAATAAAAACACTATAACTGAAGATCTAAAAACTGTTCACAATTAGCTGCAAATGTTCACATTGGCTATAGTGGAAGAGTAGCTGACTCTGGAGGACATAGTGGTTATGTCTACCTTGCATTTTGAGACAAGGCCTGCAAAGTAGATTCATCATCTGTACAGGCACCAAGTTTGCAAGCATGGCCCAGGTGCAGCTGAGTGTGGCATCAGTATGGTAACATACCAAAACGCACCCTTGGGCAAACTGTTGGCAGGCTGTTTGGGAGGCCCCAGGGTGGGCAGGTAACAGGATCTGATGTTGCACTATGCTCTTGGCTGCTCCTGGCCACCCTGGAGCTTCCTGTGAGTAGATGATCGATACAAACTAAAGGCTGTGCTGGTGCATGACACGCAGAGTCTATCTGCACTAGAGACACAAGGCAATTTCTCTCTGCTGAACAAAGACTTATTGCCCACGCAGGGTATAGAGCAAATGACTCCTGGAGCAGCAGTCAGGAAGAAGCCCTCTTTCAGTGATTGCAATGAAACCTCCAAATTGAGAAGCATTTTGTTCACAGATTTAAAGACTCATATAATCTCTCCCCCTCCTGCAAGATGGGACCTCTGCTAGGCTCATTCTTGCCTGATGGGTCTCTAACCTCTTCCAGACTCTCAGGGAGGGACACTTGCCATTCTTAGTTCTTGTTTTAAATGTTATTCCGTAGGTAAGAGACCCAGCTTTCTTGGGCTGTGAGGGCTTCTGCTGATTCCGTATGATTCAGGGCACTAGATTCTCCCACCTATGCAGGAAGTGGGTTGCTTTTTTGCAATTCCCAGGTAGCCGCTATATAATATATGTCCTTTAGTCATGCAGTTGCTGGCCTGACTGCAATTGTATTTAGGGAACATGCACTGGGAATGCTTGCACTGCCCTTGAATGGATGCCCAAAGCTGAACTCAGCATCAGTCCTGTGGCGAGGCAGAGAGTGATCTTGCAAGACACTCCCAGATGCAATCAGAGTCTACTGCTTGGATCACGTGGGACACCATTTGCCTTAACACGCCTCATGGCTTATCAGGTGGCTGGCACCCTCAGCCAGGCAGTACGAATAGGAAGCACCAGATCAAGGCATATGACACTCCAAGCTGCTCCTGAAACAGGTCCTGAAGATTTGTTTAGGTGCGACTGTAACAAACAGCAGGGAGCACAATGGTTGCCTAAGCACATTTTGCCTTGATACTTCCAGGGTTGACAGCTGAGCATATCTAGTCATGTTCCCCCTCTCCTCCGTCCCTTCACCCTGTCAGTACATCTGTGGCTAAAAAAACCAACTGTGAACTGTAAGTCCTCTGTAAAACCTTCTAAACCCCTTCAGCGGACTTTCCACTCACCCATAAGGGCTTGGGTTCAGATGTTCAAGTAGTAGCCTGTTTCCCAGGGTCCTCCAAAGCAAGGAGCGCTTTCCTTTTCCTTGGAGACCACAGGTCATATTCAGTACCTTTCTAATTGTTGGTATAAATCTATATTCTGGGCAGCACTTCTCAACTTTGAAAATTATATTTAATTAATTTACCCTATGACCTACTAATCTTTCATTATTGTGTCTGTTTCTGGTTTTACTAAGCTAGGTTATGTGACGTTGGGAGGAGAGGTGAATAGTAAATAGGATGTAATGTTTCCTTCCTGCATTGGCTTGACCATGTAGCGCTCAAGCACTCTTGAAAGCTATAACTGCAGCAGGGAAGTCCCTAATAAGCCAAGAAAATTGGCTTGAGACCCTCCAAAGTCCACTACATTTCATCAAGCTTCTTTATAAATGATTTTAGCCAACCAAGAAGCAGATGGAGTCTCTGCCTTAGTTGCCTCTGTAAATCCAGGGGCTTTTAAACCTCAGTAGTCACTGGTGAGAATTTCTGAGCTTAAAGACAAAAAGATGAGTGTTTCATGCCAGGAAGAACGAAGGCAGATCAGATAAAGCTACAGTCACAAATCCCTGACTTTCTCCATTTTAAGAGTTGGGCAGTGGAGATGATGTTTACAGTGAGAGATGTTTACAGTGCTGATTTTATCCTGAGAGAATACTAGTATCTAGTAACTCTACCCTGCACTGAACTCATGTAGAAATAGCTGAGGATGTTTATGTTTCAGCCTGAAACTGTCTCTACTAATAGACAGCTCCTGCCTGTGGCAACCTGTTATTATTGAATCTCTGTGTAGAACCATAGAATAATGTAAGTCGAAAGGGACCTCTGGAGGGCATCTAGTCTGATGCCCTACTCAAAGCAGGAAGTACTTAGAGAGGGCTGCTGGGGGCCTTGACAGTCTTGATTTAGTACACCTGCTCGAGACACTGAAGGAATTTCCTTGACACCCGTTGACGTTACTTGGGGCCATAGTTCCCCTTCATATTGCTGATACGTAAGAGCTCTTCTCTTCTTGTGAAAACTCAGCTGAATCTTTGTCTTCAAAGCACACGGGCCTACCTGGACATGCTGTGGGTAAAAACACTGTCAGGCATAGCTAGGTGGGTTGTCTATGAGGAAGGGTTTGATGGGGAGGCAAAACACATGCTCCACTAACACACAAAAATGCTACAGTCATTGCTATAACATACCTGGTTGTCTACTACAGTATGAGATTATGGGACTGAGCAGTCCCATAACCTCTGAGCAGTCCCATGCTCTGAGCAGTCAGAGCAACAGTACCACTGAATGGCTTCGGGCAGTGTACCAGACTTGCTTCAGTCACCTCTGGATGCAAATGACACATTAACACTGCTGCTGCTGAAGAACTGGCAACAATTAAGCAATCGTCTACTCTAGACTGCTTAATAAGAAAACAAGTGATCTGAGTACCAAGATGAAATGTGCTTTAGGCCACTGGCTGGTCAAACTCTGCCTGCTGATGCATGGTGCTCATAAAATGGTGCTGGCCTGGTGAGACTAAAGCCTACAGAAGCCACCAAAACTGGAGGTAGTCCATACAGTGATGACAGCCCTCTTACAGGTTAACAGCACCAAGATGGCTGTTGGCTTTAATTGCCCAGAATTAGGTGCTTTGATCCAACTTTCGGCAAATAGTTGGTTGAATGAATCATCTTATCCTAATGTACACACTAGGTCAGAAGAATCGCGTTTCAGAAATGCCTGTCTTTACTTACTTTTAAAGGCAACTAAGGTGACTATCTTTAATGAGATGCATGCATGGAGTCATTTAAGCCAAAAGAGCTATTTGTATGAGGATTACCACAAGAGAAGAAATACAGAAAACGAAAAGCTGCTCTGAATCTATCTTCTCCTATTTAAACAACACTTACATACCGTGCAAGCATCATTACCAGGTTGTCAACGCCACTACATCTCTCCCAGGACTCATCTCACCTATTTTTGAATATGTCCAATGTAGCAGTCCACATCTGAGCTAGTGACCCTGAGTTTCCCTTCTAGTTGTTGGGAAGACATAAGCATGCTCAGAGGGCAATATATTTTACCTAATTGAATTATCTACCTTATGATGAAATGAAAGATGCATTAGAAATACTTATTTCGCTTCACTGACTGTCGATTTTTCCTCTGAAGCAACAACCAGAAACTGAGTTCTAGATTTGTCAAAGAGCTGGTGCACCTGTGAGGACACCTTTGCTCTCTGTGAAGAAGATGAAAATATTAGAAATGTCTGAAAACAACCCTTAGGCTCCTTCCTATAGCAGAAGGGAAGGAACTTTCAGTTTCTGTCTCTTAGCTGAAGCCTAAAAGGCAAAGAAGAGTCTAGGATAAAGGACAGAACTAGATCTGGATAGGGGAGGTCAGTTTTCTCTGTCTCCAGCTACCAGGAAAGAAAAAGGAAAAGTAATATGAAAAGCATATGAGAAATTGTTGAAGCAAATGCACAGTCAACATTCTAAAAAAAAAAAAAAACACATTACCAACATATCAGTAAGGTGTCACTGAGGGAATGGAGGAAAATGTCTGTTTCCAAACCAATATCCCTCAAGTCTGCTAAGCAGTAAATGGCATGCCTGGAATTTCTGTGTAACATTACTACCCGATTTCACTGTGGCAGGAGGCTGTAAAGCTTTTCCTATCCCACAGTGAAACTTCGGATGTCAAATGGTGACAGAATAGAACTCGTCATGTGTATACATTTCCTACAAAATTTTCCATTACTGCTCTAATTTAATGATCATTTATGATTCTCTGTCCTAACAGTGCTGGAGGCAGTTGAAGGTGTGTACAAGGGAAGTAACTCTGCTAGTTTACTGATTCCTCTGCTCTGTTTTTAATTACCACCTCATGACAGGTATTACGTAGCTTCTGAAAGACATGAAAAGTCTTTCCAATGAATGTTGTATTTAGTTAGCATATGTGATGTACCTGAAGATTTCAGATATGCTCTTGTAATTATGCAGTAAAATGTGTAGCACCAGATATTGTGTGAGAAGAAAAGAAAACAACATTCTGTTAAATATTTTTTTTTCTGGGTATATTTCTTGTGTGTTCTAAGACTGAGATTTGAGAAGTTGTCATTCTTTCTGGCCCTTAAAGCACAACAATTTAAATGGGTTGCTATTCCTGGAAAAAAATAATCCCCTACTCTTTCAGCAAGGTGTAGAGACCATGAACATATAATGGTGTTTCAGCTGTCCCCTCAGAGAAGGTTTTCAGGTGAACAGCATTTTGTAAGGCTGGCTCTGCAGCTGAGAGTATGGGCAAAAGGTTCTCCTGCTTACAGGAGGATCACAGACAAGGAGCTTTTAAAAAGGTTTTGCGCATCAGTTCATTCTTCACTTGTTTGTGCCTTACACTGCCTCACCATCCTCTACCCGCAAGGCAAAGACACTGTAAATGATGAAATCTATCTAAGGTGAGAAACCATCCATGGGGATGTACAAAGTCACTGGCCAGGAACCCCTCTGCGTCAAACCCAATTGTTGCACTCAGATCCTCAGAACTGGTACAGCTCAAAGCATAGACATGACTGACTTCCACCTCCTCCTGCTTGCACCATATGAGTGTGGGGCTCCTTGTTCTGCCCTGTTCCCAATACAGAGACTCTCACAAGATAGATGATAAACTAATTATTCAGTTCTTCAATGCACACTTCCTTTCCCTTTTCTGAATCACAGTTCAAGTCCCTTTTAGATGTACCCTTGGTATCAGCACAGTAGTCTAACTACAGATAGTCCTAACTTTAAAACAAACTACATCAATACTGTATAATGGATAGGATTCATTTTACATGCCAGATACATATGCAAGTATGTATGTACTTTGCAAAAAAGCACTGGAAGTTAATTAATTTTTAAACACATCATATGTATATATTTCAGATTTTCTTTTTTTTTTTAGGAGCTTGTTGTATTTCAGTGCAGCAGTACCATACGCTACTGTGTCAACAGTATCAGACTACTTAGATTTGTCCAAAATGCTCTGATAAGGCTCCAGTGCTGAATGCATCCTGAGGGCTCTGTCCTCCTGCCAAATCCTATGGGAGACAGGGGTGTCTCAGCTCCTCAGAGGATCTGTTGTCCCATCATGCTCTGCAGCAGGGAGACAGACTGGAATTGCTGTTTAGTCCTTCAATTCACTGGATAAAAGTCATCTTTATACATAAGTCCTGTGCATCACTTAAGGTTCTCTTTTAGACCTGAAATTAAGTTGTAAAATATATACGTGGTACAGAGATCTGAATTTGGTTGTCTGCAGAAGGGTGAATTTCACCTACTAGGAACAGCTACAGCCAGGTTTCTGAATCCGCACGTAAGTGCTGAGAATTCCCACCTTTTACTGGCTTGGCTGGCAAGTGAAGGCGCTCACAGGAAACGTTCGACACTTTTGCAGGAATTTGGCTTATTTTGTACTGGAGAACAGATATGCTATTCCTGAATTCCTAAACTTATTGTACTGGCATCAGAGTAGCTAGAAACCATAAAACATAGCATGAAAAAAATAGGAGAGTAGACTATGTATAGATATATTTACATGTACATACATCTACATATAGAAGCTTCTGTTCACTGGAAATTCTATAAGCCACTGCCTGCAATAGCATCCGTCCTAAGGGAGTTCGAGAGATGATTCTTAAGAGACTGAGGAGATGGGGTTATGAGGTGAGCCCATCTGTGTCAGCACCTTGTCCAGCCATTGCAATGGTCCGTGCAGGTGGATCTCAATCCAGCAGGGTGTGCTTGTAACATCTTGGCGATGATACTCTGCTCCCCAGCCCTACAAAAATATCAAAGGACCAAAGAGTGAGTCTTTTTAAAAAATGTTAAACCACAACTCCAGTGCTTATGGCCTAGCACTACTCCAGGTAGCCCATCATCCAAGTTACCAAGGTTTAATGCTTTGTCCCAAGGAGAATTTTTGCTCGAAATGTTGCTCTTTTTTAAGGTTATTGTTATCATAGTTAACAGGGACACTAAGGGTGAACCTACAGTAGTTAATTAAATATGCTCAGCAACATTTCCAGCTGCTGAGACCAACTGACCAACTCTTTCTGAGCCTGGAAAATTTTCTAACTTCAAAAAGAGGGTGGCTGCCAGCAAACAGCCTATTGGGACTGGTCTCTACTGTTTTAACCCCAGAGCCATGCGCAGATAAGTCTGGCACAGACGAAAAGCATGTCAGGCCCTGCCAGCACTTTAGTAGGACTTGGGAATGGTGCTGGGTACTACTTCATTCATTGGTAGAGATGTATCCTACGAGTCTGTTCCTCTAGAAGTTCTACGTATTTATCCAAGTCTTTGGAAACCTCCAGCCTGGTTCACCATGTCCCCATTAACTTAAACTCAGCTTAGGTACAGACATCGTCCATAATTTTTCTATCTTTGAACATGTCCCTTCTTCCGGTGGGGGTTTCTGGATTTTGGATCTGTGCTGTGGGAAGTCCTGGAACAACTTCTCCAGCTCTTTCTGGGAGATAAGGGATATGGAGCGTCTGTCAGAAGATGGGCATGTGGTGCTGGCAGGGAGAAAAGAGAAACGGAAGCTCCCCCACCTCAAGGCAGCACAATGTCTGCTTGTTAAGCAGGCAGCCACCCTGCCACGGTTTTGGCTGGACATATTAATTCTAGCCACCCATGTGAATTCTCAGAACAGTGTGATGGGGTAGCAATGTGTGATGGGACTTGATTAGCCAGATAACTGATGTTTCTGTGAGCATAGGACTACAGAAAAGAAATCATAACATTCACCATCAAAGCCAACAGAGTTTCTGCTCTCCTTACTTCACCTCAAATACAGAAGTGGACTCACAGTGCTTGCGCACAGTATCACACTCTGTGAGTAGCTAATTTCACAGCAATGCAATAGATTCAATTAACAGCCCAAAGCCTTACAGCTAATAGCCTCTCTTACTGAAATAGAACTCAGATTTCCACTGGACGACATGTAAAATGTTGTCTTACTGCAGGATGAGGCTCATAATCTGTGGGCCACCGATCAGAGAAGTTGGGCTTTAGCTGTCACTGTGCTCGTCAGGAGGGTTGACATTTTTGTTGTGAAAAAGTACACGGAGATATATTAAAACTGATGCCTGCCAAAGGTACCTAAATTAGAGAGCGTGCTGAACAGTTGAGAGGTACTGAGGTTGCTAGAATCCAGTTTTCTAGACAGTCAGGTGCAAAACCAGGAACAATACTAAAACTGGATGCTGTAATAAATGGTCTGGATAAAATCCATTACTATTTAATAGATAACAGGGGGCAGGGAGCAGAAGACTAATATATAGGCCCACCAAAGCCCAAAGAGTACTTTTAATCAGGCAACATTTTTCTGACCTGCAGAGCACTTATGACACTAGAAAATGCCTATATTTTTAGGCACCTTAATGTTCTGGAAACGTTCGCATAAAGCCCCCAATCTTTAAATCAGTGCAATTGGGCTTCTGAGTTTAAGGGTGTTAATGATCAGCTGCAGTGAAGACACATGGCCAGAAAGACAATCATCGAAGGAAGTGGTGCATCTCCTCTGACTGGCAGGATGGAAAATCTGAGGAAAAGGAATTACAGGTTGCAAATGCAACCTGCGTAATTTTGAGGAGTTTGGTGTAGGCAAAAGTTAGCAGTCATTGCGGCAAGCTGTCTGTCAGATTGCCAGCATCTTTAGGTGGCTGGCCATCTCCCTCTGCTGGCAGCTCCGAAACACAGACAGCAGCCTTCCCTTCAGCCCAGCTGCCCGTGTTGCCAACACATGCCCGGACTGGACCTCCTCGCAGTTAAATGCCATGAGGGCAGGACTCACCTATGTCTTTGGCCTGTAAATTGAGGCCCTCCCTAGGTCGCAGGTAGAGTCCTTCATCCCTGGGACTGAAATGAATTCAGAGGTGGAGTTCTCTTAACGAGGAATAAAATGAGAACAATTTGCAGAGCTGTGTTCTTGTTTTGTGCAGACGGTGGGAAGAGGATAGAGGATACCAATAACCACATGAGGAGTCCAGAAATGAACCTTATGGCATGGGGGAGATGATTTCAACAACCCTGCTAGTACTGCCCGTCTTTCCCACTTTGTGCAGGCAACAGCCCTCTGCAGCCAGGTGCTTAGCCATGTCCCAAAGCCGTGCGCTTCCTCACACTGGGAAGTGGCCAAGCCTGCTGTGTCATTCCCTTCATGCTGAGATGAAGAGGAATGTGGCCTAAGAGGAAGCAGATTGCTGTGGGAGTGAGGGTCTGGGTTCAGGACTTAACTCCGTCTCTCTGCACTGTGCTTTAGCTGCCGCACCTGTGGAGAGGAGGCAACAGCCAACCTGCTTGCTAGGTTTATCCACGACACTCCATGGATAAAAATTGTTCCTTAGTGGCCTCTGCTGTCTCTGCTAACACATTCATGTTTATCTGAATTTATGTTTGCTCCCTGCAGCTTCTCCATGGGCATACCAGGAGAGAGTGGACAGGAATATCTTTTCCCTCTGTCCTGTGCCCTGTCTCCAGAAAACGACACACTCCTGGCAAGTTTCTCCCTCCCTGGTGGTAGCTCATACATTCATAGTGGAGGCAGCAGGGTCTCCAGCACTTTAGCTCATCTTGTCCTGTGACCTATAAGGGACCAGTAGCAACTGGTGTGTGGGTCATGAATCAGGGGAGAAGCACAGGACTACCCTGTGCCTGGGCCTCTGCAGGGCCACACTATCCTCTGTCCACTGCACCTCCCAACACCCCAGCGGCACTCCTGTTCCTGCACTGAACACACCAGGACTCACATCTTGGGAGAGAAATAATTTGGGAAAACTGAGTACAGGAAAGGGTTTTTACAGGCTGGGAAGAAAGAACCTAGGTGAGATTTGCATAGCCACTTTCCAAAGGTCATGGGAAAGGGTTTGAAATACCTCCTTCTTGCATTGGTCTTCTGATGCCTGCGGCACTATCGTGGCTGCCATTGTTTCAACAAAGCAAGATGATAATATGGCAGTAGTGTTACTTAGTGCACCGACACTACCGCTTTTGCTGCATGCTGGGCTTGGAGGCAGATAACACATCAAAGAGACTGCCCCTGAGTTGCTGAGATAATGAAAATATTGCGTAACTGGCTACACTGCCTTTACAAACAACATACCCATTCATGTCTTTCATTAAAGAAAATGCTGTCTGTTGGGTTTATTGCTTTCTTTTTTCCCCCTAATGCTTGTGTGTGAACAAGATGTCAGTTCCTTCCCAAGACCAAAACAATAGAGCAGGTCATGGGCAGGGAAATTTTGGCTTGGACTCCCAGGAAAAATTACAGGGCATTCTTAATGCTCTCAAAAAGTTAAGAGGATAGGTCCTCAAGGACAGTTAGAAAGAGCCAGAAAGCTGCCTGGGTCTGAACTCTTCCGCTTTGCAAGATGTAGGGAAGCTGGGCTTGAGCCTTAAGCAGTTTTGTAGTATCTTAGATGTGAATTCAGTCAGCTTGATTCAGTCATTTGTATATAACCAAATCTGCAAGACATAGAAGGCCACACTAAAGCCACTTCTTAGAGTGCCTAAACAGGACTAATGTGCCTCTAATGATGCAACTTCTCTAGTATGCAGGCTGAATATTGCTGCCTAGCTCTCTCCAGCAGCACTGTAGGAAGTCAGTCTAGCGCATTTGTAGAATAAGCAGTCTTGAAATACTCACCATTCTTTTAGAAGCCACTACAATTACCAAAAGTATATTGTTAGTTCTAAAAGGAGTCAAGAAATGTCATTTTGGAGAGAGGGGCATTCAGAAGATTTAAGAAACTCCCACAAAGACTGATACCTTGCACACCCACCAGTGACTGCAAAGGGTCAAAGACATGGAAACAGTAATAGCTTTGGTGGCCTACTCTCTCTTTCAAATAACAGAGGGAAGGTCAGTGGTTCTTTTGAGTTTTGTATTCTGCTAGTAAGGACCCTTTCTGGCAGTGGGGCTGGCCACTGTGAATGTCAACAGCAATTAACACAATCTTTTGCCAGGGAGCAGAAAGGTGGCAAACAATGTAAATCCCCAATAGGCTGAAGGAGGACCCAGTGTTTCTTGGCTGAGACCATACATGCCAGTCTGTAGTAATGTTAAGATTGTAAATTGGCTAGTGGCATAAGATTTGTGGCTGCTCCAAGCTCTGCCGCAAACTAATAACAATGGGATGGCTCACAAAGTGTCTAAGGTATGTGCTGCAACATTACATGCTAAGCCCATCTAAATTGAAGTTTTAGGCAATCAATGCAACACCACCATTCAATCTCTGCTCGTTTTCCACATGAGCCTATGGAATACTTAAATTTTGGACTCCAGGAAATTTCCAGGTTGACCACAGAAGCATCTACTAATTTTAAGCACCTTAAAAGTTTAAGGCAATGCTGGAAAACAGGCAGTCTGAATTGCTATTTGCAGCTTGGATGTTTAAATCCCCACTTGGGAGGGATTTTATAAAGTCTAGTTTTGCACCCAAGTTAGCAAGTGACAGGATTCACCTTTTCAGAAATGCAAGAGAAGACAAAGCATCCTTACTTTAACAAAGCTCATCCGAATAGTGCACATCTTGGTCAGCTCATACACCACTTCAAAACCATGATGGACTGACTGGGCAAGAAGCTGGGCAAAGAGCTGGTTGTTGAAGATCTTGAGGCTGCAGCCACTAGGGATCTTGCAGACAGTGGCTGGGTGGAAACCATGCTGATAGTTACAATTGCGGCTCTGCACAAAAATGCTGCTGTCACTCACACATTCAGCGTAAACCTCTCCACCGACGTAGTAAAGATGAACACCTCAAAAAGGAAAAAAACACAAGTATTACTTCTCCGTTGTTCACAAGATTGCTTTATGCCAGTAATTCTTTGACTATTTTAACTTGTGTGCACATACAAGCCCAGGATCATTCCAGGCATGCAGTGCCTGCACATTGCCTTTTAAAGGATGGTAAAATTTGTGAATATCTACATATCTACAAAATGGACCCACAAACATTAAGAGGAAATTTTCAAAAATGTTATTTCAAAATATTGGCACAGGAGAAAAAAGTCTTGGCATGTGATGTTCTGCTTTGTTTCTCAATGAAAGTTGCCATACTTCTTTAATACACCGGCATGGTACTTTTTGACACACAACCATGCACATACACATATATGTCAGACATATGTGAAATATATACAAAGCATGAATCAAAACTGTCAAAGAACTGGCAATTCTGTTATGCATTACACATCCAAATCTGTTTTCCTTGTTGAGTATATGCACTCCCACCAAGACCCAACTCATTGCACGCTATTTCTTAATACGTGATCCTATCTCATGTAGCTCAAACATGGTCTGATGAGCACTTAAAAACAACTTTTCTGTATTTTGTTTTATCCACCACATCAGAACTGTGTATTTGCGTTTGCATGGCCCTGACTTACCAGGTCCTGTTCAAAGCAACACTTTACAAGAAAATGACCGATTTTCTTGTGGACTTTTCAGTGTCTGGGTGACTTACCAACACTAACTCCCATATTTTTACCATGCCTTGGGGAAATAAAGATGGAAACACTTCTATCCATTCAAGGACTCGGACTGCTCTCTGGATGACTGCCTCCACAAAAACGTACATAAATTGCTGAGGGATTTATCTCAGCTAAATTCAGCAACCTTCAAGTTAGGGATCTACTGTGAGCAAAGTGTGTAGACTTCTTCTCTAGCTGACAGATGACAAGAGATACTGCCACCAGATGATTCACTCCATCCATCTTAGAAGAGTGCAGGCTTACTGTCAGCCTAATCTGATCTAAGTCTGTGCTGGTGCTGAAAAAGCTCTCTTTTCCTGCCCCTGCTGCTTCTTTCCACACCTGCACTCATGAACGCAGCAATGCTTGAGGGCCAGGCAGCCACCCAGATAAGGGAGCTGAACCAAATGAAAACTAAGATATTCAGAGTGAAATCTTCATCAGTGCAAGAGTGGCAATGGGGACTTAGACTGCTTAGAAGTGAGCATGAAACCACACCCTGAAAGGGGCCGAGTCATGCTCTGAAGATGCCTATGCATTTAACCTTCCCATGGTTAGAGTTAGGTGAGATGAACCCCTCCTGCGGTCAACAGAGGTGGAAGAATTCAGTTCTTTGTTCTCATATAAACCACCAATAAATAAAAATAAAATCCTTCTCTTTATTCCCAGGTACAGAGCTCAAAGCCTTACATATAAATGCACACATACATACACAGAGTCTAAGCGGACTGTCTGCAAAGCTAGTGATAACTATGCTTTAATAATTCAGCGTTAATTTGTTTTTTTTCCCTTTTGTCTTTCATATCAAAAAGATTGGCTACCTATTCCCAGTCTCTGTTCATGCCTCTGTGGTCATGACAGCAAGGGGCAGCAGCATACCCTTAAAACAAAACCAGCCTCTCAACAGAAATGGGAAAGGCTTGGGGAAATGCAGGTTAAGTGGGAAAGGGATCTGGGAAAAATATGCTCTCCCATATGACTTCCAGAGTGACTCAGACAAGAACCTTAAAGTGTGTCTTCAAGCCATCACTTGACTTCTACCTCTGTGCACCCACGAGATCTCACGTTAGATCTGAGTGACGGTGGGGTGTGGCTCCCAGCCCGAGCTCGTACTGCACTGGGAACATGAGTGAAACTACAACTCCATCAGACCAGTCATCAGCAATAGTCCAACCGCTCCAGATGGTTATGTGGTGTTTTACATTGTGACTGCTATTACTTGACCTGTGTCTCCTTTCCCTTTCGTAAAAGGGGGAAAAAGTGAAGGATAAGAAAGTTAAGTCTTCCTGGGTGACCTTGATGGAGTCCGTATTAATTCCTGAAATAAGCAGGTTAAGTGAGAACGCAGAGTAGGAGGAGAAGAATAAGGACACAAATATTTGCCACTTTTCAAATCTAGAGATGTGACTACTGATTTAGGGTGCTAATGTGAGAAGCTTTAAGGTGCTGGATTTTCAGAACGTTTTGAGAACCCAGCTTCTGAAAAAAACTGAATGCTTTCAAAGGCACTACCCAAACGGTGTACCACAATAACAAAAGCACCAAAGCCACTTCTGAAAGCACAGGTTACAGTTTTCTTTTTCCTTGTGGACTTTTTAAAAGCAATAAATACAGCGGCAGTGAAATGCAAGTGTGTGTTTCCAGTCTTCTGCTATTCATTCACTGGAGACTAGCACTGTCAAGGAAACCAAGTAGCTGAATACTTGTAGAAGACCAAATCAAGGGTCCATATACTTCAATGGGATTTCATCGCTCTCTACAGAATTTGGAGATTCAGCAGTCTCCCGGTTTCCTCATCTTTTTGACCAGAAGTCCCCTTTTTGTCCTTGAAGTCTGACTGCTGAAACAGGTCCAACTACTAGTAGAAGTTGCATTGTGTTCTGGATTGTTTTTAGCTTTGATGTGGTATTTCCAGGAAACCATTTCACGCTGATACACTAGATGACAATTCAATCGCATATCCTTATCCTACTGAGCTAATCTTGTTTACTCACTCTTTTTCCCCCTGTTAACATGTGACAATTGTATCCATTTCAGTAGCTTTCATCCGTCCAGCATGCCTTTGAACTACACAGTTTTGGAGCTGCTCTGCTTTCTTCTGCAGGCCTGTACTGGTGCCATTTCTATTCCACTTGAACATGTTTTTTTAAGATTTGCATAAACAGGGAAGAGCAGTAAAATTAAGGATCTCAGATATACTAAGCTCCTCACTGGGCAACCTGCTCCCTTCCCTTGGGCAGATTCCTAGCATAAAAGGACTTTTAATCAATGAAGACAGATCTTCAGATTTAAATGCATGAGAATCATTAGCATGTATCTCATTTCTTCCTGTCCTTTCATTTTCGGGGCAGAAATTTACAGGACGTAACATCCTCAGATGACAACTTTGACTGAGACCTTTTGTCATTTAATGCAGGCTGGGCTCAGCTTTGATCTACACTCGTCTGAGAGCGAATACTCATAGGGAAACTTTGCCTTATTTTCTGCATAAGTCAGGACGAGATGGATAACTCATTTACACTGCTCACAACAAACTACTATGGCAGACATTTGTAGCATCACACTCACTTCACAGAATACATTTGTACCAGAAGTGTTCACCTTGCTGGAGAACAAAGCAAGAGCTAAGCAGAGCATCTTCTGCTAAGTGCAGCACCTCCTGCACTGGCCTTCAGGTTCACTGCTGTTTGTAAAAACCATGTCACATTTGTCTCAGACCTTCCTCATATTCAGTCACTCAACACTAGACCATCAAGAGCCAATTAAAATACTGCTCTAGGCCTGGGAAATGAGGTGAGGTTGACAAGATAATAGGAGTGGAACAATTAGAGTTAATTAGCCCAGTGGGAAATCCATTCCCAGGCAGCTGCTGGTGGGAGGCTGCCTTGGCAAGATAGTAAGTCTAGACTGGATACACCAGAATAGGCAACACTTCATCTGCACAGAGAAGTGGCCGGTACGGAGCTTCTGACTCACTACCACAAACAATATGAAGTTCTGGGAGAATATCAGGGCTTACACAGCCTTAGTGAGGTGGGATGGAGTGTGTGTAGCCATGCACGTTCAGATGTGGTCTCAACATACTTGTTGCCAGTAGCACATGATCCTGTGTGCACAGTGTGTGCCAATCAGATGTGGAGCATACCAGGAGAACTGCTTGAAGGAGAATCCAAGATTTAGTTTTACTAGCTAGAAGCTGATGAGGCAGAGAATCAGATTGGACTGATGTTCTTAAGTTGCTAGGGCAAAAAAGCTACAAAGCAACTCTTGTAGGGTTCTTCAGCTAAATAACTCAACTACAAAGTGTTTCATCCATCTCCCTTTGTTATTTGGTGGTTGGAGAACCAGCCCTGAGGCACCAGCAATTATCCTTTTAGTGGCATTTCAATGGCAATATTCCCAGTTGCCAGAAGCCCTAATAAATAAAATGAAAATACATACTGCTAAATTAGAACATACAACTATAAACAACATTTTTCTCTTCACTGGCCAAGTAAATAGCTTTTGTAAGAAGCCGCTCTGCTGATTATCATCCAGTCAGAAAAGAATCAGCTGCTTTTCTTCTATTTCAGAAGTAAGCTCAGAGCTTTGGTTTTTAGACATGCACATCTGACAAATCAGCTCCATCTATTAATGTAATGAACAGTTCTTTCCAGCTCTGAATATTCCCAGGAAGGAGGGATTTCCTCTTACCTTTTCCTATGTGTCTCCTGGTGTTTTCTATAGTAGAGTTGCGGTTTACATTTGAGAGCAGTCCTAGGCAGAACCTGTTTCTGTTATTTGAGGGGTCTGTAAATCCATCTATAAGGATACTTCGAGAGGAAGCCTGGAAAGTCTCCCCCACCCGATTGTTGAGTTCATAGTAGGCCACTGAGCACCAGTGCTGGGGTTCCTCATAGCAAACAGGGCGAAAGTCTGTAGGGAATAAAATGAATCAGCCGCTTAGGTCTCAGTAATACTTTTTTAAACAATCATTCTCTGCCTCTGTCTCCTTTCCTCCTTCCCTTCCTCCCCCCTCCCCAGGGATCTTCATCTAAAATAGTCACTTCTGTCAGGCTTTATCTCGACAGCAGCTTCTGCCTCTTCATCATTTTATGACGGGAGCCCCAAATGTGCAAAGGCCTGGTGCATCAGCTTAACTTTAAGCCTCTAAGGAGTCCCACTTGTTCTTAAAAGTGATAACTCTAACACATTAAATTAAGCACATGCTGACATTCTTTGCTGAACTGGAGCCCCATCACTGCACTGAAAATAGTAAGGGATACATCTGCTCTGCACACCAGAAGGAGCTAAGGATGACAGATGGGCTCAAAGCAAGTCAAAACTGAGCCAAGCCTTCAGCCTGATACCAAATGCTGATGTTCAGAAGTAATCAATCACTTCCCCGCTCCCTCCCCCCCTTCCCCATTTTTTGCATGCTTCTGGGCTTTCTGCTTCCATGTGGGATTGTAGGCAGCAATGTCAGCAAATGTCAGCAAGGCCATTTATTTTGGAACTACCCCTGCCCAGGTTTTCTAACTCAAAGACAAAGAAAGACTCAATAACATAAGAGAATCTCTCAGCCTCATTTGTTCTACAGGAATTAGTGGGAAACCTTATCTTGCCTGCCTACCACAGACATGTGAGACCGCCTGCCCCCAGAGCACCTTTATGAGTAACCTCTAATAAACTTCCAGCTAAGATTCACTAGACCAATGATCAGGGACAGTAAAAGGTGGTAAAGAGATTAAAGTCTCTGGGCTATTTATTTAAAAACACTGGTGCCTGAAAACTACTTATTATCTGACCATTCTATGTATCCATTTGTTATTAGCACCTTTATCCTCATTTTTCTTCTCCAGTTCTCTGATACATAGATGTTCATCGCTGTTTCGGAAGGTGGGCATTATTTTTTAATGTGCATATGTGTGTGTGGTGTTCAGCCCTCATGTAGAAAAGGACATTTGTGTAGGACTGCAATATGCTGGACTACAGGGACAATGGTGATTTTTCCTCTGCAGTAGGAGAAAGTCAAAAGAAAACCCAGCAGAGGAACCCCATTTCCCCATTCTGCTCTGCAGCAGTGGGCTTTGAATGGTGGAGGAGCAGCATCACCTGACACTACTAGCCTGGAGCTAGCAGAGACCGTGCTGGAGAGGCCAAGAAGTTGCTTTGAGGGGAGCAAAGAGAGAGGATCCCAGTCCCTTCTATTCTGGCCATCCATGCCCTCCCTCCCTAAAGCATGCTTATATGAGGATAAAGAGTTTGGCCTTCTATAAAGATCTCTTGCTGCTTCACTACAACATATCCTTTTATCTTCTAGCCAGGCAATAATGTAACATCAAAACAAATTTGGAAATAAGAAGGTTTTAAACATAAAGCTCTGAAGTGCATGAAACCCAGAACTGTAGGTGATAAAGAAATCATTTCTGATATTGATGGTGCTCTTTTGCATTTTATAGCCTCCCCATCCTTGATTTGGTATTTTTGCTTTTACAGCCTAGAAAATAATGTTTGCTTTAATTATTTCTAACTGTAGCAGCTGACGGCTCATGCATGCAAGTAGAGTCTAAACTCTGTAACTCCCCACCTAAGTCACTGAATTCTTAAATCATCCTATTCTGCTAGCCAACTGATGGACCTAGTACCCTGCCTTAGCGTTAAAATTGTCTGAAACCTATTGCTACAGAACACTGGATGTTTAACTAATAATTTTTGCTTAACAAATTCTCTTTCAAAAATAGTACAAATAGTTATTTACTTTCAGTTTCTCCATCGGCAGATTTACCTCCATGGGGCAAAGACAGCACTAGTTGACTTTCAGCTATTGCATCCATTGACCGCCCATTTTGGTTTCCTGAAGTTTCTCTGGCATGGTAAGGTGGAGGTGGAGTTTCCACTATTAGAAAGAGGGAAAGGAAGAAAGGAAGAAAGGAAGAAAGGAAGAAAAGACACCTACATCAGTAATTTGGTAAATTCTCCTCAGCTCTTCTTGGCAAATATGCAACACTCCTTCAAGCATTGTTTAGCTAGAGAAGGATTTGAAAGAGTACAAATGTGAACCTGACCTCCCTTCAATCTCCAGATTAAGACCATTTTGCGCTCAGGAAGAATGGAAAGGAAGTGTAGACATTTTGGACTCAGTACACTTGAAAGAGGGAGGGACAATCGATTACAGCAGTGCCTCAGGTCTAGCCCGGTCAAGAAGGCCTCGAAGTAGAAGGGACAGGCAGGATTCAGAAGGCTTCATACTCTGAGCAAATAAAAGCCACAGAACCAATCAGGAATGAATTACAGCAACTGAGCACATAGGTGACAAGGGTGTACGTTAACTGTTGTGAATTCCAAGTGACAGAGAAGAGGCACTTCCCCAGCCATAACTACTAGCGAATAGTGATACTACTAGTGATAATTGTTCCAAGCACTTCCCCAGCCATAACTACTAGCGAACTAGTGATAATTACTGCCAAGTACTCTGGTAACATGAGTTTTTACGCTATGACGGTATTGCAGGTTGATCCTTCACTTCTCTCTCAAACGGAAAAATTTCGCAGAGGATGATTTAAGAGCAGAAGTTAACTTTAATTGCTCCTCTGGGAGAAAGCTCTCTTCCTTCGCAGGCTGTAAAGAAAGCCTATAGAGAGCCCTTATAGTCTGAAGTGAGACTTAGCAAAATTCCCTCCAGGTTTTTTCCTTCTTTACTTCTGTCCAGCAAGCGAGGGCCAGCTTTCTTCTGATTTGTTCAGTGTTACCATCAAAAAGCAATGAACGTGACAGAAAAATACGAAGAAAAAGTATTGGCTCACAGCCTGCCCTGCTCCCGATTTGTTTCTTTTATAGCACAGTAAGCTGTAAGATGGAAGGTGGTTTTCTGCAGTGGGGATTCACAAGAAAGGAGGCTTTAGAAAGCCAGAGAAGGGACTTCATATTCACAGGAGAAAACTCAGATGTTCCCTGCACAAGCACTATAAGTAGGTAGCTTTACTCACTTAAACAGAAACTCAATAGGCCTGTGAATAATTTACAGTCATGTATAAGACTGCAGGACGAAGGGTCTGTTTAAGAAATCCAGGGTTTAACTTAAGTCCAGGTTAAAATTCCCTTTTGTGTATGTATGTGGTTTGTTAGCTGACCCTCAAAACAAAGCAACTTCACCCAGAGTGGAAGATAAATGTGGACGGCCTCATCAGATGACCATCGAATCTTCCAAGTACTGCACAGGAACATTATTAATTCTATTTAAGCAGCGTCCAGGATTTGGGAATCCCACTAAATGATATTCCTGACAGATGGAAGATATAACCCTTCCACAGAAAATGCAACAAGTCGGAATAATAAAACAAAATCAAGAATTAGTGAAAGAGAATAAAAGTTACAGAAAGATTACAATATGGTTATACGTGTATCCGTGAGGTCTACACCTAAGCTAGTCACCATAAACTCTCCTTATACTCATTAAAGAAAAATAGGCACTTCCAGGCATGGTGCATCTCAGCTACTCTAGACATATACTTTAAGATTAAATGAATATTGTTTTCTAGGAATGCTTATTTTTCTCCACTGATTACAAAGGTGGTGTAGACAATTAAAGCACGTGGAGAAATTTACATTGCTGACATCTATATTTGGTCATAGCAATCCCACCTGCGGTTCCTGAGGTAACTCATGACTATTGCGTTAGATAGTCAGCTGTCTCTGGTTATGACACTTGCAAATTAGGCTTCTTAGCATTCAGTATGCTTTGATACACTGAAGCTCAAGTTGAGCCACTTCCATTTTCAAGTGGCTTTGCAAGGTCCCAAGTTCAAGTAAACTCACAAGTCAGAGTTATTACAGAGCTTGGAATGGGCCTGATTTACCTGTCAGGACCAGCTCTACTGAATTGACCTCAGTTACATAGAGGTGAAAGAAAAAGATAGGAGAAGACAAACAAGTCCTACTACTTGTTAAGAGTGTTTGTTTGGTTGTTGCTAAATGAGTTAATCTGACTACAGATCTAGAGTAGAAATGAAAAAAACATTCAGTGAACGGACAAGGAAGGAAAAACATTATGCTACGTTGAAAATGTCCAGCTTAAAAGGAAGTTCAAATGCTACAAATATGTAAAAATAAATATCTTTCTTGCACTTAAAAGCAAAATAGACACTGAGGATATGAATTTAAATGTTTTATAGTTCAGATATTGAAAGATTAAGCTACAAGATTCTGATCTGCATTCATCCCTGTAAAAAAGCTGAGATCACTGGAATTACTTTGGCGTCGCAACAAAGTGCAGAAGTGAGTTTTCACATAAAAGGCAGCCCTCAGCTGTGCTGTATGACACGTTCTTGTGTATTTAATAACAAAAGTATAGTTAAATTCTTAGGTAACCAGAACAGTACCAAGTAAGGAGTTTACAAGTGAGTTAACCCTGCTGAGCTTGGAACTGTGGAGCTGATGAAACATGCTCTGAAGGCACAGGAATCTGCCTGGTGACGTAACTGAGTGCTCGGCCAGATTGGAAAACACCTTAACTTCCTGAAGTTTCTACAGTCAGGGGGATCATTATACATTAACAAATATTTCTGCATTCTGATCTCCCCATTTTAAACTGTCTCTCTTGATGGAGCTTCTAAAGGTCCCTGTTCTGTCTACCTCTCTCAGAGGTGCCTAACATAGGTGTTGCAAATACTCTTTTCCATGGATTGTATCAGAAGCTTGGATGGACAGTTCTGGATAGAAGGTAGCCTGGCTCACCTGCTGCTGTTCTGAATTTTCTCCTTATGCTAATAATGAGAGCTCATTCAGGCACTTGTAGGAGTGGTATGATTATGGCTTTTAGTCCATTGAGCATCCATCAGAAAGACTAGGAGACCATACTAAGAAACAGATATAAGAAAACTAATTCCAAGTCCATCCTGTCCAACACTTCAGTGCACAGCTACAGTCTGTAGGGAGCACACAGAATCGCTCCTGACCCCAGACCCTGGCAAGAACCTCTACTGCCTTGGGGGGATGTCTGGAAACTCTTCTTACCTGTGAACTGATAGGGACTTCCTGGTCCAGAGGAGCTTCCTGGTGAATTGGGGTAGCTGATGCTGTTAGGTGACTGGGAGAACATGTGGCTGGGTGAGGATGGAAAAGGGGTGCATGGAGGATGCTGGAAAGAGTCAGGGTAGGTGGCGTTGTGTGGCATCAGTGGCTCGCTGTGGAGAGAAGTGTTTCTGAACTTGGCCAGGAGGCTGAGGTGAGGGTTAAACTCACTGTGCCTTGGAACTAGTACAGGAGGTAGCACTGAAAGGAAAAATAGAATGGAAAAAATTTGGTTATAAGTGCACTTGTGCAAATACATTGCTCTGTAAGTAAGGCAGAAATATACTACGTACTACCTAAATATTTTTTTCTATATACTGCTCATTGAAGCACAACAAATCTGTCCCACAATAAGAATCTGGTACTTTGGCTCTTCTTCCAGTTTTGCAGCCAGTTGCAGCAGTTCCATGTGCAAAAAAGGGACTCACTCCTGTCACTCACTACCGTGCCACACCTGGCACGGTATCATATAATTTGCATGTACACTATGCACACACAGCCATATTAGAGAAATGCAAGTTGTACATTTCTCTCTCTCAAAATTACCTATTCCTTCTACTGAAAGACTGAAAAATTCAGGGGGTGGCTAAATACTATGATCAAATTTTGTTAAATTCAGAGCCAAGTTTAATAATAATTAACAGTGCTCTGCACTGCATTATTTTACTGCTAGCATTTTACAGATGGGCAAAAGGAATCATAGACCAGAAGCTAGAGACCAGATTTAAAAGGTTTTCAGGTGCCTGAAAATGCTGCCACCCAGACAGTAGGATCTCTAAAAGGAAATGTGAATGGCAATTTAAATATTGCAGCAATATAAATTTAGCTCTTGCAATATTGTTTAAAAAGCTCTAGCATGAGGAGATAAATGTCAATGCTTGGTAGTCAAGACATGAAAAATGCAGGTCAGAAAACTGAAATGCAAATTCATCCACATAAAAGTTGGTCTAATGGAAGAGATCTTCCCTCCTCACAAACTCTCTTCACTTATATCTCATATTGTCGTGACTGTAACACCACTACTGCATTGAAGAACCCCAAGCTGGCCTGAAAACTTCTGGATTCTGACGTAACAGGAGCAACAGCAGAATCAGAGTCAAAATGCTTTAGAAAAGTGTATTAGGTGAGTTATCTATAAAGATGTAGACCATAGGTTGGAACACAAAGAGTTCAACTTCAGGCCTTAGCTGGATCCCTCTGTAGTCCTTGGGGAGAGAACAGCACCTACAATGGGCAGTTCGTGTACCCCAAGATTTCTTTATTAGCTACAGAGAAGAGGATAATTAAGCACCTAAGTGTCTCAGTTAAAGCCTTAAACATAAGTAGGGGGAAGGAATCCCTGCTTGTTAGCAGAAAGATCTAAAAACCCCAGGAGAAGATATGGAGGCAAGGTTGGTTATTGTAACGAGGATGAGTTGTCCCAACATCAGGCCAATTCAGCAGGTTACATAGATTGACTTAGCGTCTAGAGTTGCTTTGGCCTAAAACGCAGCAGCATGTAACCTTTCGGCCTGTCTTTACCAGTTTATGGAAACAAAGAGCAATGGGCATTCTTGGTTATAACGGAGACAGGAACGTGTGGTTTGCACGTGTTTTGACATATTGTTTGGGCCCAAAAGCTCTGTCTAGGTAAGGCTAATTCTTCTTAGGTAGGTTAGGGAACACCTTTTAATTACAGTAAACATTCATTTATCCAGCATAATAAAAGAGTGGAATAATTGCTATAAAGCAAATGTATAGATAATGCAAAACAGGTGCATGAGAAGAGGCTGTAGGAATACGCTGAATACACTTTCTTTGGATATCACTGCACATGGACTACTCAGAGCAGGCACAGCTTTAATCAGGAGGCAGAATAGTGCCTGGCACAAACAACATGTTTACAGCTTCCAGCTTGTTGTGGCACTATGTTGCAGCTGGGGAAGTGCTTAAAGCACTTTCCAACTGAGTGCTAAAAACTTACAAAGGATTGGACTGATGACAGGGGATCCACTGTAAAAGTTATATTATTACCTGCCCAGAAATCCAGGCACTGGGATTCCTGTTAAGGGACTACATGTAGACCCTTCTCTGGCCTACTGCTTTGCTAATTAGTTTCTGGCCAGCACAGCACCGGGACTCTGAAAGCCTGCTTTCCTCCCTTCAGCCTCTGATATTCCCCTACCTGTGGGACGATTTTGAAGCCACACGCTGAAGTCCTTCGGTGGAGGAAAGTATTTTTGCTTTTTACCTCTTCCTTAGGTTTCTGGATTTCCTAAACTCCCCAGGTAGCACTGATATTGGCAATGCAGGCATTCACATCTGAGATGCATTACTCGATCCCCTTAAGCTCTCCTTATAGCCAGTGGAGAGAAACAAGACTCTTTCAGTGCTCAGTTCATCTGCTCTATTTTGCGACAAGGCCAGTACCACCACCAAAGTGATTACACTGCAGATGTGTTTTTACTCAGCTGAATCCCTCCCATCCCATGCTCCTCTAAGTAGCTCCAGGCTGCTCCTTCTGGAGTTTTCCCCCACTGCAGCATGCAAATGGTATGATTTCTGCCAGGTTCACTGCTACCCAGCAGTTTCTGACCACCAGCCCTGGAAAATGGGGAAGCAGTGGTCTTTATGCACTCAGCAGTGACCAAAGGCACTGAGCAAAGGACAGCTGTGCTACAGCAACGCTGTGCAGGGTTCGGAGGCTGGCACCAACCACTGTGCACTTCATATTGAAGCAGCTTTCTTTAGCCCTGTGAGAACTCAGTGCAACTCCTTTTTTAAATGAAAGCTGAGAATCTGGATGTGTGAACAGCACTTGCCAGGGAAAGCCTTTGACTCGCCCTGAGTGAGTCAGCAAGAGGAATTTTCAAGCTTTGCAATGCCTTGAACTCATTCCCAGCTCTGTCCAGAACACTCTTAATTTCTGCTCTGTTGCACAGTTTCTGCCACCTCACTCGATCTTTCCACTGACAGCACTGTGGATGTCTAGAGGGCTAAAGCCTCTGTGGTGGCAAGGAATTTGGAGAGTTTGTTGTTTGCGGCTAAAAAATCCCCAGAGGGCCTTGTTCTCCTTGCTCTTTTGGTAACAGATGGCACTCTCTAAGCCTCGACCGTTCTGAAGGCAGCGTGATCAGAGGCATGAAACTGAAACACTCACTGAGTGCATCAGGGACGGTCTGCACTCGTAATTTACCTGCACTGTCTCCACTCAGTGGGGCCCTTTCTTCTACCTGCTATTCTCTATCTAAAGCTAGGGGTGAATCCTTCCTTCTTTGCATGCCTCTGCTGATGATCTTTCTTCAACTGAAGAAATAAATGGTCATATATGCCACTAGGCTCTCTCCTATGCTCTTTAGCTGCAGTAGTTGTTGCTGGAAACCTGGCTGCGCTCCTGCTTTCTGAGCCTGTGACCTCAGGTGCTAGCGAGCAAACTATCCGCCCCATCGTTTTATTCCAGGTACAACATCCACACTGCTATTTCTGATATTTCAGCCCCTTTCTGAGAAGTTTACTGTCCTTAGAGGCTTACGCTCTGGTGATATCCACCTGTTCCCTATATCCATGACCATTCATAAACATCATACACGTGGCCTATAGTAAGATCATCAGGTGGTCTTCCACCTGGGAAATTACCACGTCTTCCTCCCACTCAGGTTTGACAAGAGCAATCATTTACTCTAAGTCAAAAGTTCACTTAGGCTCCTGCTGTCTACAGCAACAGTGCACATTAGAACGTCCATTATCTACAAATGAATGAGCTCATCTAAAAATAATAGCGTAGATGCTTAGGCAGCTTTTACATTTTCTGAAACTGGAGCTTCTGCTGACAATGAGCCATTCAGACTTCTGACCTGCTCTGGAGAATGGGGAGGGCAGGACCCTAAACGACCCTATCTCGTTTAGACTAGGCAGAGTAACCCCTATCTGCAGTGGAATGTTATACAAAATGGAGGAAATATTTGCTGTAGTTTTTTTTTTTAAATGGCACCTGTTGCTCAGCAGGCCTGGAAAGAAGAGATCTACTGGGGACATTGGTAGCAGCAATGAAAGCTACATCCTTCCGTCTTTGACACAACTCATTCATTCTGGATAAAAGTTAACGGATCTGGTCATAAAGTGGTTGACTCAGCAAGATAAGCTACACTGATGGAAAGGCAAGTAAGCCAAAAATGATGGACAATTTGTATGAAAATAATGCAGGCCTCTGGATAATAAAGAAATGCACTGCTAAATAACCTTAATGGGTGGATTCCTTAGCTTCAGAGGCTAAGATTCAGAGAATCTCATATAGCCTTAGATCCCCAAAAGCCTAGATATTCAGGGTTTCCTGTAGTTAAAACAGGATGGTTGCTTAAAAGGACTGGCACTTAGATCAGTCACTCCCAGCCATTTCTGCAGTGACATCATTGCTATCGCTTTCTCCTCACCATCATTTCTTCTGTTCCCTCACCACCACCTCTTCCCAGCACTGCTATCTGCAGTGCCTCTGGCCCAGAGCTGCACTGCTGCCACTTGCAGTGGTCTAGGCTCTCTCTCCAGTTGCTGCCCCAGCAGATCTGTTTAGGCTGTACTTCTTGCTGCACCTCATCTTCCGTAGGAAGGTGACTCACTTGTGAGCAGCAGCTTCTAAGCTGTCCCAGTGAGAACATCGGCACTGGTGAATATAACAGCCCAAGAACAATTCCTGGGCCCTGTGGTGAATGGGCACAGTACAGCTTGTACCCACCCAGCTGCACTCTTTTCCCTCCCAAATAAGGTGGTCATATCCAAAATGCCCAAAGTCCCTTGGTGTGCTAACCTCTGCACCCTGAGCACAGTTTGGGGGAATGCTAGTCTGCATGG